CCCATTCCTTTATTCCCCTTTTCTTTTTTTAGGGTCACAGTCACTGGTGAATGATCTGACCATAATATCAGGCCTATATCAATCTCTGGATAATAATCTAAAAGCCGCTGTTGCATCCATATGTGGTCAATTCATATGTATGACTTATGGACCATAGAATAATATGTATAATCTCTTTTCATAGGGTATAGTATACGCCATCCATCTACCAACCTCATATTATCCATTCTAAGTCTATTTAGGGCATTTCCTGAAAGGGAGTGTCTAGATCTGTAGTAGTCTAAATCTGTGTCAAAAATTAAATTCATATCGCTCATCACCAAACTTGTGCCTGCCCCATATTGTTCAAATCTACGAAAGAGCTGCATACAATACTTATGTTGTCCCTTTTTTGGTGCATAGATATTTGCCAGTGTAAACATTTGATTATGAAAAATAAATTTCAAAAACACATATCGCCCCCTTTCATCTATAACTGTATCTGTCACATTAATTTGCAAATTTTTATGTATTGCCACAGATACCCCCTTTGTTTTTTTAAATCTGGATTTGTACTATGGAACCACTTTGTATAATATTTATTTCTTATTTCTGGATTTAATCCCATCTTTAAATGCGTTTCTTGCAGACATAATATATAATTTTTTTTTTGTGGAAATGATATAGAATCTGTGAATGTTTTTCTGGAACATTAAATCTCCTGACATTATAAGTAACAAAAGCTAGGCTATTCATTTCTTAATTGTGTGGTCATCAAAGCACTAGACATGTGCGATTTGGTTCGTTCCGTTTCAGACGAATTTTCGGAAATTCGTAGATTCGGATGCATCCGAATTCAGAATTACAGCGAAGACGAATGCAAACGAATCCGAATTCCCGATTTCCCGAAATTCATTAGCGGTAGTTGGGCCAAAATTCTTTTATGGACGAAATTCGTTATTGGGGGGGAACCTCACGTTTGTTTTTTTCTATCTTCTGCAGACTGTAAAAAAAAAAGTCATTTTTTTTTCTCCTAATGTCATTTTGCTGTCGTTATTGGACGAATTCCGTTGCAGCAGAAGATGGAAAAAAAAAAAGCGTGAGGTTCCCCCCAAAATCCATACCTGACCCTTAAGGTCTGGTAGGAATTTTAAAGGGGATCAATTTTTGACTCTTCCTTTTAATAAAAATTTTTTTTTTTTAAATGGCTCCATCGATGTAATCCAGAGTCAATCAGGATGCAGGACCCCCGCCGACTCGCCGAAATAAAAAAAGTCCCACTGCAGACGACCACTCGAACCCGACGAAAACTCGCCGCAAAAATGACATTCAGCCCGAATGTCAACAGATGGGCGGAGCGAACCGTGACGTCACGGCTCGCTCCGCCTATTTGACATTCTCAGCTGTCGAATGCTACATAGCATTCGGGAACTCCCGAATACTATTCATGAGTTTCCGAATGCTATTCAGGTCTGTGAGCCGAGGTGTCATAATTCTTTTCAGATGACACCTCTGCTCTTTTTTTGTGTTTTAACGTGCACAAACTTTCATTTTCTCCTACAACACCTACTACAACATTTTCCCTCTACAGCAATTCTATGGTTAAAAGTTTAGAGGCAATAGTGTAGTGGTTAGAGTACTGGTTTGCCATTGTCAAGGTCGCAGGTTCTAATCCTTTTTTCTTTGCTTTTGAATTGGCATTCTCCTAACATTCCTACCAGACCTAAAGGGTCTGGTATGAATTGGGGGGGAACCTCAGGTTTTTTTTTTTTATCTTCTGCAGACTGTAAAAAAAAAAAAAATGTCATTTGTTTTTTTCCCCCTAATGTCATTTTGCTGCAACGAAATTCGTCCATAAACGAATTTCGGCCGGACTACCGCTAACTAATTTCGTCCGAAACAAATTTAATTTCGGACCCGAATCCGAAAAACTAAATAATGCAAAGTCCGAATCAAAAGGAAACGAAACTAGTTTTTTTTTGTTTGTTTCAAAACGAAACAAAACAAATGTTTTGCTGGTGCACATGTCTACAAAGTACATTTTGCAGACGATCTGTTCATACACTCCATAACCATCAATCTCCCCATCTGTACTCTATCTTCCTGACACATTACAGCCTTCAATCTCTCCACATTTATACATTTCCTATATTCTTATATACAGGACATTTACCTTATGTCCCATATAAACCATACAAGAAAACCCTAAAACTAAAGGCTGTACCGGGGTTATAGGAGCCAAATGGTTTTCCGCCTAAGTCCCTGCCCAGCCCCATATCTTGCCAAGGAACCCTTCTCTTCTTATCTCACTTTATGTCTACTTATGTTTATATCTATAGATACTTATTCATAGATAAATGTATGTATTTCCACCCATTGTCCACACACTTCCTTCCCTTAAAAAATAAAAAAGGAATATATGAAAAATAATATGGGAATGTAGTATGGGAAATGGGGGGACCACACCAGAAGTACCCAACAACAAAAAAAGGAGGAAAAAGACAAAAAAAATAATATAAAAAGCTATAGCGGAGAGAGACAGAGATTAATCTTCCCTCTTCTCTCTCCACATCTATCTCAAAGCACATCTCTTTTCCTTATTCACTTCTTATATAGTCCACGTGATTTTATTACTGTCCATTCTCTTCCTTGTGATGCTTCCCCCAGTTCTTTTAATTCATTTGGCCACTCTGGCAATTGCATTAGGGGTATTTCCAAAATGTCCAAAAAACCTGGTAAATCCTCCAGTGTTCTGAATCTAGCCTTTCTGCCATCTCTATTATCTGTACTATTAGCTTGAAAGGAAACCCCCAGCTGTATCTTATCTTCCTCTCTTGTAGGACCTCCAATATGGGCTTCACCCCCCTTCTATGCATCAGCGTTTGTTTTGAAAGGTCAGGAAAAATTGTCACTGTATATCCATCATATGATATTGATTTCTTATTTCTTGCTGCTAGTAGAATAGCTTATTTTTCTCCTTTAAATGCTCCTGGGACCCTATGAACACCATTGATTATTTGTTCAGTCTCAGGAGTTAAGTTTAATATACCATTCAGTACTGATTTTACTGTTGAGGGTAAATCTTGTATTTCCATAGACTCCGGTATACCACGTAAACGCAGATTATTTCGTCTGCTTCTATTTTCAATGTCATCCTGAATCTGTTTTGATTGCTTATTAATAGTTTGCTGGTGTGTATCAGTTCTAGATAAACATAAGTCCATATTCACCTCCATTCCATTTACCCGATCTCCAATATTGGTGATATCTACCTTCAAAGCCTGCAGTTCTTCTTTATATGTTGCTTCCAGTCTAGTTATATATCTTTCCATATCTTCCTTATTTGGGAGGGAACGCAAAGATTCCCTTATGTCCTTTTGTTCCTCCCCCTCTTGCAAATGTGCACTTTTTGGGCTATATGGGATCTGTCCTATGTTCTTTTCTGCCCCCAGGGAACCCTGTGCTGTCATGCATGCTGGTTTATCCTTTAGAACATAGTCTTGTATTGCAGCATGGTCGCGGTCTATCACTGCTGGGGAGGCAGGTGTTGCCATCCTTACACCCTCTCCCTGTGACAGCCGCGAACGTGTACCTGAAAAATATGTCCTAATTCGCGTTGTGGAGTTCCGGCTCATCTGGGCGGCAGGCTGCGGCTGTTGTTGGTTTTTCTTCCCTCCCATTCGTGAGGGATACGGGAAGTATCACTCTGGTTTACCGTCGGGTAAGGAGTGGAGCTGAAGATATCCGGCCGCTGCTTCTCCTAGGCCGTGCTCGAGTCTGGCTGGGACGCCGGAGATCGGCGTCCTACGTCATCAGCACGCTTCACACCCACGCGCATAAATGCATAAGATAACACATCCCTCTGTATCACTCCAGTAAATCGGAAGGAGGTTTCCCTCCATTGTCTGGATGTAGTTCATGCTATATGAGTCTACCATTTAGCCACTGCTTCTAATTTACCAGGTGAATGTTCAGACCTCATCTGATGCCAGATTTGGGCATAAGGTCCTTCTGGCAGCTCTTGGAGCTGCAGGTGGTTACCACTTTTCTTGTTTTATAATGGGCGTGTTAGAGTGTTGTTTTATTGCCCACCCCTCAGTTGGACTGCGTTAGGACGTCCTGAATGTTAATCCATTTCTGTGTCCCTTCATGAAAGAAAGAAACTAGGATTATTTTACTCATTGTAAAATCCCTTTCTTGGAGTTCCAGGGACACCGGTCCCACCCCTCTATTCATGATCTTATTCTCAGCACTGCTTTCCTACAAAACTGATGCATGCTGGGACAAACTTTTTTTCTTCACAATGTGGGTGTTTTTATTTATTTTTAACTTTTTTGTGAATGAGTAACAAGGGGTACTGTGTACTCCATACTCATTTACTGGTGGGTGCCAGTATCTGGAAGCCCCCTATTTTAAAGGGGGCTTTAATTTCCTGGCAAGTCCCCACACAGACCCCACATTTCTTTTGGGGGACAGGATGTAGGGATGAGGCCCTTGTTCCCCTAATATTCTGGGACAAAATACCCTGCGTTGCCACCCCTTCTTGCAGGGTAGTTTGCCAATGTTGAATTTATGAGGCGTGGTAACAAAAGCTTGCAAAGTGGCCAGAAAAAAAACAAAAACTATAAGATTTGATTTCCAGAGATTTCAGTGGGGTCTGGCAATATGTTTGGGTTTAGTGTGTTCTCTGAACCTCCTGCAAATTGAACTTTGCCCAGTTTACTGATCCTAAAAGCAAGTGTGTAATATGCAGAAAGTTACAAAGCTGAACTTGTGAGTTAATAATCTAGCGTGTCAAAAACTGATTTATTTATGTTGGGTGGACTAACCCTTTTATCTAATAAATACTTTCTGTTGTGAATCTAATTATGTGTTTTGTCTATTCATCTGATATTTTTCTATGCACATTGTAAAAAGATTAAATTCAGGAGGGCTTTTAAAGTATGACAATTAAGAAACAATACATTCATCATATTTATTTAGTAGTTTATATTCATGTATTCCTTATTTTATTTTCTTAGTTTGCAGTGTTTATATTGTGAAAAAACTTTTAGAAACAAAAGCACTCTAAAGGACCACATGAGAAAAAAGCATCATCGCAAAATCAAGGCGCAAAACCAAGAATATGATCAATTTTATGTAATCAACTATTTGGTAAGGCTATAGTTGAAGAAACAAAATTTCAATTTCAACTTTCTCATGCAATAAAGATTTCTTATTCCTAAAGGAAACTGAAAAAATATAGAAGCTGGTATCCCTCTTTCTTGAATGTGCAAGTAGTTTGGTGTTCATGCTGACCCAGTGGCTATAGTACTTTTTGAGAGCTGAAACAAATATGCAGTCTGACTTATCTGCATACTTGTTCTTCATCAATGACTTGAAACTAAAGATGGCTAGGCAAAAAGTTATTCTTAGAAGGAGGTCTGCAATGCATACCTTAAGAACTGATTCTTGAGTGCAGTAGCACAAACAGAATTCACTGTTATGAAGCCAGACCAATGCAAGATCGATTCTGATTGGTTGTTATGGATTACTGCCCTCAAAAAGTTTAGAAAATATAACCCAGAAGGGTATGCTTGGGGGGCTTTAAAGAAATTCAAAAAGCTTCAACTGAACCAGTGCATAGCACAGTAGAGCCTTCTAAAGACAGAAGATATTCACATTTCTCATTCCATTATATACCTTAAAAATTAAGAAGTTATTTCTGTGGGCAGGGCCGTGCAAACCTTTTCTTTACACCCCATGGCTAAATGTAGATCCAGAATCCTGCTCTATAGCACAGTATGATCGAATATACACTGAGTGGCCAGATTATTATGACCACCTGATGTTTGTAGGCTAATTAGCTATAATTAATGGTGGATGACTAAATACTTTTTTGCCCAACTGTATAAGGACTTTACTATAGAGAAATACAATTTTTGTATTGCTCTGACACATATATTTTGTAGATAGAATATAAGCTGCATTATGACTAATAGAAAAGAAACTGTGGACACCCCCCGAGTCTTCAGCTTATGCAATTTAAAATATAGCATGAAATGCTGTGACTTATGAGATTTCATACTAGTCAGCTAAGAATGCTCAAGAAATTTTACTGTTAATATTAGTTTTCTAAGAGACAATTTCAAGGCAGCCTCACACTTAATGCTGTAATATTTGTTGTGTGCAAGTTAGAAAGTTTGAACTGACATCCACACCAAAGTAGTTTTTAGGCTGAAATGGCATAAGCAAAACTAGTACATTGCATTGTGCGAACTGTCTCATTAAATGTTTTGAAATCCTTTTTCTCTTTGAACTACTGAATCTCACAAGGTCTGCAAATGCAGTTCAAAGCAATTGTGGTGGGAAGTCTCCGGAGGTTTGTGATCATTAGCAAGTTTACTTGTATTCCAATTGTGGTCATATAGAATAGTCAGTGAGTTCAAACCTCTAGCCAATTATGTCAACTGTGGCTTCTTCAGCTAATGTTACTCTTCTAAAGCCGAGTCTGAAAATAACCATTCTATAAGGAGAGCTGTACAAGAAACATTGTCAGCATGTCTCATTGATTTCTGCCTTTCACTGGTAAGGCTGCTTAAGAGCTAGTTAAAGACACTGTTTTATATTGAAAATTAATTCAGCAACAAAGTGTATTCTGTCACAAAGCTACCAAAGTGCAAAGAAGAAGGCATTAATCCAGGCTGTCAGTCTAAAGATTTTTTTTCTTTGGGTTGTGTTTTATGTGTAATAGCATGTACCCTGATTATGCCTTTAATAATTATATTAAGAAGAGTGTGTTCTTTAACCTTTTGCTACTGGGGAATTTTCCTTTAGAAACAAGACTGCTGCATCTTGTTGCATAACACAGGGCCAGCTTCTATGATTAGATTTTCTTTTAAATAAGTAGAGGGAAAATAAGTACAGCTTTAATTAGCATGGCTCTTACGGTACTTTTATTCCTTTAAAATGTGATTTTGTGCCAAATATTATTCCAGTTGTGCTTAACTGTTTCTGAACAGGGATCACACATTTCTTGAGACCCCACTCATATACAATCAGAAATTGTGCCAAGTTACTATAGAGATACTATATTGCTAAATACTTTTTTTCTACAGGGGACAAACAATATTATCACACAATATCCCAAGGTACATGCTGTTACATTTATTAGACATAGAACCATTCTCTGTGTGCAGTTGTGATTTGGTGTCAGTTTGTTGCTAGGGGTAAAAGCCACCCCTGTCCAAAAAGACCAGTTTAAGGTCAATTGGGCACAGCCTAGAAGTCAGGTTTTGGGGAGACCAGCTCTTTGGCAAACAAAATCTGAGGGGCTCATGAAGGAGGGTTTTTTGCACTGGCGGAACTACCAGGGTCGCAGCGGTCGCAATTGCGACCGGGCCCTGGCGTTCCGTCACTTGGGGGGAGCCCAGCAAGGAAGTAGAGGGCCCCCCCCCCCCCCCGCGATCCTCCCGCTCCTTCCCTGTCGCACAGCCACCCGCAGCATGTATGGGCAGCTGTGCAAAATGGCTGGAGAGACTGTCGCTGATCTGATTTGCTGGTCCCGCCTCTTAGGGGCGGAGCTAAGAGGTCCGTCTCCTCTTAGCTCAGCTCCCTGGCAGACGAGAAAGAGGGCCATGGGCCTGCAGGAGAGGTAAGGTAAGTTTGGAGTGGGAGCGGGTGCTGGGAAGAGAGAGAGAGTGTGTGTGTGTTGCTGGGACTTGTAGTCCAGCACAGCTGGTGGTAATCTGCATTGCTGTATGATGATTATACAGCAATGCAGAATAGCACCAACTATGTAGGACTACAAGTCCCAGCAATGCATTATAGTG